AATTGTCCCTTCCAAAGGTCTTTATACGTGGGCGGAAGCATGGTGTGGAGGTTCTTCCCGCTGGCGACTCGGAAGAGAGTATAGGCGGCGGCAAAGTTGCGCGCTTCGACGGCAGTAGGCTGATGGGCTTGCTCTTCGAGCTCCGACGGGATCTTGATGGGAGGTAGGGTGGTGGTCTGCCGTGTCTTCTGGTTCATCTTGGAGAGTACCACAGCGTAGGCAAAATGCTGGTCGCCATCTTTCCGCTGCTGTAATTAGCAATGGCCTGTTTTCACGGCGCGACTACTTACGATGCGATAGTCAGGCTTGCTCCACTGCTGTTTCTGAAAGTGTTCCGACAGTAGGTTGACCGGGAGCTTTCCTGTCCACGATGCGCCGGCGATGAGCGTCCTTGTATCCGGCTTCTTGGGACCATCCTCAGCAGCTCCAGCTGCGGACTTCCCTTTGCCCTTACCCTCGCTCTGGGCGGCGTCTCCGCTAGAACTCTCGCCCTTCTTCTTTTTGGGTTTGCCGTCACCGAAAACAATGAACGATGTGTCTTCCTCAGGAGGCACAGTCTTCTTGGCGGGCTTGCCACGGGGAGGGTGAGCGTTCTTGGGCATCGTGCGCGATATGTTCAGTGTAGTTGTACGTCCTGGACTCCATAGAAGTATACTCAGGCAAAGAGTGGAGGTATGATGATGTGATTTGTTCGTGGGCGGTGAGAAGGGCGCAGTCGCTAATGAAAGGGCTCAACCACCGGGATCAATATTGCACCACCCTTCAGCGAGTCCAAAGAGGAAAGAAGCACCTATGATGGCAGCCATCGCGAGTTCCTGGCGCTTTCACTCGAACGCGATGCGCAATCCGAAATTCCGATGATTGCAGGGATGCCTCGGTACGCTTGGACCCACTCCGAGCCTCATCGTCATCGTTGCTTCACGAAACCCTCACGAAGCATTCACAAGTTTCGATGCGCCCACTGGCCCCAAGTTTGTTAGCAGCCCGTTTGTTTCGCGCGCCGTTTATACAGACCTCAAAAAAGCATACCAGATCTTTCCGCAAACCTAAACGCGACAACGGATCAGCAATGACGGACCGTCCAAACAAGACGGATACCCACGATGCCATTACAGACAAAGAGATAGCAGGCAGGGAAACGGCGAATCAAGCTCAGCCCGCAATCGATCCTGCCTCTTCAAAGCGCCCCAATGCATGTACGTCTCATTGCACGCCTCCTACAATCTCAACGCGCAACCTTAACTCACGGTGCAGTCACAGAACTCATGACGCAGTCGAAGAAACCAAGATCACCCATCATTTCCGCCGCAGACGGTCCAAGTACGACACAGAAGGCTGCCAATAAAGCTAAGCGTTGGGACGGACGGAACGGGCTGGGCGTCTATATCGAGGCCCCCGAGACGAACCCTGAGAACAAGATACTGGAGTACGACGATGACTTCGTCGTGATAACCGACAAGTACCCTAAGGCGAGGTATGTGCCCATGGTATTGGAGAACTGAGGAGAACTAGCGCGCTGACGACCAACAAGTGTACATCTTCTACTCATCCCGCGGAAACAGGTCTACTACGACCAACACCCGCTCCAAGCTCTCTCCACAGACCCAGCCTTCCTCGCCGAAGTACAAAGACGCGCCGTCCGTCTCAAAGAACTCGCGGCATACGAACTCCGACGTCAATATGGCGACTTCAGCGCTTCAGATAAACCATACAACGAGGCTTTCGAGGCAATGATGAGCTCTCCCGACCCACCACCTCCACCCGAGGAGCGCGCAGCACTCCTTCCACCCGGCCGAGACTGGTCTAAGGATATCGCAGTAGGCGTACATACACATCCCTCGATGAACCATCTACATATACATATCTTCAGTCGCGACATGCATTCAGACTGGATGAAGCACAAGAAACACTATTTGAGCTTCAACAGTAGTTTCCTGGTTCAATTAGACGAGTTCCCTCTAGAAGAAGATAGTAAGAGGTTTTCTCCCGGAGATTGGCCTAGTTGGGACATGAAGTGTTGGCGATGTGGGAAGAACTTTAAGAATAAGTTTGCGGCATTGAAACAACATCTCAATGAAGAGTTTGACGAGTGGAAGAGGCAATGAATATGGCAATGTTGGCCCTGAACACCATGCCCGAATTCAAAATATTTTGACCCTGAAGCCTACATTGCATCAAGAGTTTGCGAACTTCCGTTGCTGACACCAATGTAGACTGCGGGGTGTTCATGAGTGGCAACTTGATTCGGGATACATTAAAAGTTGCTAATGTCTGAGATTCTACCAAGCCATCTCCCATCGGCGACTTTGTCATACAGATCTCCGTGCTCCCCCATCTAGCGAACGACCAGGGTCTTGACGACATTAGTGTCGATATCATGCAAGCTCGCTGGGAACTTGCAAGACTCGCCGAAAATACAGCTCTTCGTGCCCTTGGCATAGTGAATCTTGTTGGGCGGTGCTGGGCAGCGGTGGCCATAGATACACCTAATATCCTGACAAACACTGCCGTTGCTGCAAGGTGCCATGCGGGCAACAAGACGGAGGGTAGCCAACTCGTCGCTGGTAGGTTTGTACGCGTGGAGATGGGTGCATTTGGTGTCGTAGGGGCATTCGGCTCGAAGGAAATGAACGTTGCACAATTTGATCTTCTTCATGCGGTCCACCTCAGCTTTATCGTAGTCCTTACACGGCGGATCGACGCGTTGGCCGGCGCGGTTACGTGCGATGACTTCTTCGCGGTTCGCGGGCTTGTACACTGGGGTCTCTGTAACGGGTGGCGGTGGAGCAGCGGCCTTAGCGGCCCAGTTCAGCAACGGCGCTGGTGGATCTGGCTTGAGTGCCGGGAACGTACTGTCCGAAGCCAGTGTTGATGTTGAAGGCGTTCTAGGCAAAGCCATCATTGTCGCTCGGTTTGGCAAAGGACTATCCATGATGGGAGACTTCGATGGGGCTGGGAACCGGCTTGGGAGACCGGTCGAAGCTACAGACGCCTTAGAACTATCGTTCGAGTCGATCCTGCCCGGGACAAATGCCGGTGGAAGGCCGTTGGCGTATGTACTGGCGGCGTATGTAGGTCCAGATCCCCAAACCACGAGCTTGGTCTCCCTGAAGAGACCTGGAAACTTCTTCGTTTGGTACGGCAGGCCGACGAGTTCCTACAGAGAGGTGAGGTTAGCGTCCGGGCTGTACGAGTGTTCGTGGATTTATGGCTCGCGCGAGTCAGTCACGTACCTTCTCAAATGGAACACCCTCAAGGAGAACCACCTTGTTTGTCACCTGAAGGCGATCGGAGCACTGCTCAAGCGTTCGCGCGTAGCCATTATCGTGTGAGCACCCGAAGAAGATCCGACGGCAATGATAATCTTGGGAGTATAATTTGAATAATTCTAAGATTGTCAGTACAGTCAGAAGCCTACATGGACGTCTAAACTCGGAAATAGCTTAGGATAGTGGGTTTTGAGGAATACAGTAGCACTCACCGATGATCTTCTCGTCAGCGCGATCTTTTCCCGCACCGACGTCGATAAAGTCGAACAATGTCTTTCCCCGCGTGAATCCACGCACGAAGTCCTCAAACTCGATGATGTCTTCATAAATCCCCCTGCGTACGAGCACGTCGCCCAGCCCCCGAACATTCGCATAGATGCGGCAGGCGATGCGGTAACCGAAAGGGATGTCTTGGCACTCATTCTCGATATACTCGTGGATATCGGCGAACAATTGGACAGCAGCCCGGCGGCCACCTTGCTCTCCCTCGCGGAGGAAGTCGTCACTAAACTGATATGTAGTCAGCAGACTGCACTCAACTCGCAGTACGTGGAGCTCACAATCATGCCGTCGCCGTCAATCAGTACCATAACAAATGGATTCTCAGCCTGTCACGTCCAAGTCAGCTCCAAAGCGATATGTGGCTGGATGGGATTACCATATTCCGCTGCAGGTTCCGATGCGACCTCTCATATTGCTGCTTCTCATTTTGCCATGCGAGGATCCAGTTGCGATCGCGGTCGCGTTCGGTGGCCAATATCTGGTACTGTTGGTGCATAAATTCATACCGATTTTTCATTTCCTATTGCGCGTCAGTCACGACTGAGTGATAGTGACAGTTACAGTGCACTTACGGTCATAAACTTCGCCTTTTCATCCTCGTACAGCTGGAATTGCTCGAAGCGTCTGGTAAAGTCTGCTAAATCGGCGTCGGAGGGGCCCGGTGAAGCCAGACCAAGGCCGCTGAGCGAAGGCGACATGTCGCAAAGGGCGTAGGCGACCGGCGAACAGGTGTGTGACTGGAATGATAGAGAATAGAATGACTGCGATTTACGTGTATGAGAGAGGGTGGAGAGAAAGCAGGTGCGGGAGGGTCGTGCGCTCTTCCTGCGGTTAGTAGAGATTTTTCAAGCCCGAATAGGAAACTGCAAGTGAAGGTGAGTTATTGCGGTGACATTAAATATCACTGAGCAGTGAAGACGGCCAGTCTGGCTTTTAACGGTATGCAGCCATGCGCAATGCCGGCGGGCAGCCACTCCAAGGCGGTGTATATGCAATTATAGCAAACTGCAGAACCATGGGTGCCTCTGGGTTTGAAATAGAAGGAGCGACATTTGCGGCGTGGATGCCATGTACAACGCGATATGGCGCGTACCAGGGAACAGTCTATACTTGGAAGGGGCCAGCCACAGAGAGTGTCAAGCGATAGCTCATCTTGACGCCAGGATGATAGAAATAAAATGACCTAGAAGTCTACATTGAGCTCAGGTTTTGCGACATTTCGTGTTCATACTGATGTAGGCTGCAGTGCACCTGACCACCATCTTCGTTGTAGGAGAGGAGGTGGAGAGACGGCGTCGCATTGCCGCGGCTCTAGTTCCGTCCTCCGACGCCAAGAGGCAGCTGCGCCCGGACGTCACTTCCCAGAAGCCACGTTCGAATTACCCCATCTGTTCCCACACGCCGTCCCTCCTCCTCTCATCCCTCTCCCCGTCTCGTGTCGTCTTCATCATGGTCAATTGGAAGTTTTCATCTCTGCTCCTGCTCTCTCTCCGAGCTCTCGGCACCTATGCTGAGCCCGCGGTAAGCTCCAAACTTTCTGACGCAGCATGACATCAGATGGCTAACGGTCGCGTCTCCAGGCTGAGAAGGTGCAACAAGCAGTAGACGAGCCGCAAACGCCCAACCTCAATGTCGCCGTTTCCGTCTCTTTCCCGCAGTCTGAGATCTTCGGCGTCAAGCTCGTCAACGGCCAGGCCACCCAGGCGCGTCTGTCTGTGGTCAACAATGAGCCAACCCCCGTCGGCGTCACCATTGTCGGTGGCTCGTTGATCCAGGAGATCAAGGGAGAATCTCAGATCCTTCGCAACCTCACTCGCCAGCGCTACTCCATCCAGATTCCCGCTGGCGCCAACGAGACGATTCCCTACAGCTTCACGACGGAGATGCACCCCCAGAATCTCCGCCTCCAGCTCGTGACTGTGCTGAAGGACAGCAAGAACAATCTCATCACCGTCCCGGTCTACAACGAGACTGTCAGCATTGTTGAGGCGCCCACTAGCTTCTTCGACCCCCAGATGTACGTAGCAATCCACCACTCAGCCTGGACACATGTACTTACTTCTCTCTAGCATCTTCCTGTACCTCGTCCTCCTTGGCGCCTTCGGTGGAACCGTGTACTTCATCTACAACACCTGGATCTCCACCTTCTTCCCGCAGAAGAAGGGCCGCGGCAAGGGTGGTGAGCGTGCTAAGGCGTCTTCGGGCCAGAGCAAGAAGGTCGACCCCGCCGATCAGGTTGCCGTCGTTGGTGCTGATGGTCCTGCTGTCACTTCCGGCGCAAAGGCCTACGATGAGAGCTGGATCCCTGCCTCGCACCTTCAGCGCCCAGAAGCCAAGCGCGTCCGCAGCGGCCGAGCTTAGATTCCCTGAACTCGACTTTAAATTCTTTGGGACAATTGGATAATACGAACGGCATGTTAGCATGCGTGTTGTGTGGATATGCTTGCATGTTCGGATACCTGGGCGCAGTTGTGCGCTGCAAGATACGTTAATGCTGCGGATGCAGAAGGCTTGGATAATGAGTTGGATGTACTATATCGCGACGTCTAAAAGTTGGCCGACCTTGTACGATATGAAAAGAAATGTCATTTCTCTGACTAGGACTTGCCAGACATCCGCCTGAACGTGCTGTCGTGGATGCAGCCTTGGAACACCGTTACACCGCAACAATGACGAGACTGGGCTCACATGTCGGGCTGATTTCTCAATACCCGCGGAGTCTGGCTTCTCACATGCATTGCTTTGCAGTTACACCCGCAGTATACATGAGTACTACGCATATATCTTCGCGCTAGTGCAAGCCGCAAAAGAAACGTTGTAGAGCAGAGCAGGTATTACACCGTTCGCTGAGGTTACCTGTGATGCATCAGCTGCCCCGCATCGCGATCTCTACGCCAGTGTCGTACATGCCATCTAAACTTACTCCGCTCAAAACAACATCTCTCGTATCCAGACTCACGGGAGATCCTCCGACGTCGGTGATCTACCTCGCGTCGTATCTTTCATCTCAGGCTAAAACTTGTCCAAACATTCGGTGGAAGCATGCTAGAAGCTCTGTGGCCGTCAAACCAGACGCCGTTGCTTCGCCCTAGCCAGTGTTCGCGGAGGCCCACCCCGCACTTTAGGCTCCGTGCATGACGTGTCGCAGCCTCCCATCTCCAAACAAGCACACACACGAGCACCATACAAAGTTCAAACACGCACCAACTGCCATCACACGCCTCGGCACCTTGGCTGCTTCTCGAATTGTGTAGGTGTGTAAGCTGCAAGTATATGCGCAATGCGATGCGCCTCTCGGCCCTTTTTTGCTTTTCCGGCCGTTTGGGGGTGGAGGTGGAGGGTCGGCTCGCGCAAACTGGGGGAAAAGACAAATTGCTCAAAGCACCGTAGTCGCACACGGAAAACCCACCTGGGCACCCGGGGTAACGGGAGCTAGATGAGCTGGACGCAACCCACGATCGCGTGCATGTCGTTTAGTCTGCGTTGATCGTAGTCGTCTCCTTTGGAACGAGAATCATCCGCCGATTGGGTCCGGATCCGCATGTGCAAGACGTGATGCTCACGATGCCGTGGGGTGATCATGGCTCGAAACGGGAAGGGCTTCACATGTCACGGCGCGGGCGGGTTTGGGGGGCACGCGCGCTAGAGGCTTGCGTGGATGGGCGAGTTGCTTGTGACTCCGAGGGTAGAGAGTTAGTGTGGGTCTAGTTGGGTGAGTCAATTTGGATTCGTGGATGGATATAAGATGAGTGGTTGCTGCTCTTGCTACGCGTTTTGCTTATAACAGACATTCCATCAGCTGGGAGGAAACATCCAACATCCGGTTACTACACATCGTACCATCGTGTCGACGACATCAAACAACAAGCCCTGCTCTTATTACCACCGAACGACCACCACGTTTCATCCTCGAGCATACCACATCAGACCAACAATACAGCTCACATCACATACACTATCACAATGCCGCCAGTCAGCCAATTCCCACCTGCGCGCGTCTTCCTCAAGAACGCAACCTCATCATCTCCATCATCCATCAACATCTCGACATCACGACGAGCCAGTCTGACATCACCACTAAGCCCCAGATACGCAACTTCATCAGCTTCGAATGCGTCACAGTCCATGGCACAGATGCTGTCGCAAAGACCAGGGGCTAGAGAGATGGATGGCGGTGCGAGACGAGTGACGAACTGAAGCATCGAGCTACTATTCAATTTCAGCGAATAACGCTCTCCCGACATACCACTCCAAGGACGCCACAGTCAACAGCATGTCGCTTGCTTTTGTCTAGCAGACGGACCTTGATGCGACATGAACGCCGAGACGCGAAGACCTGTGCCACCATATCGCGCCGTCAGGAGAGACGACGCAGAGCGCAGAGAACCGCTTGGATGTATCGCAAGACCAAAATTATCATGCAAGAACTTGCACCAAGCGCCGGACGCGTGTGCTCACTCACGAAGAGATCGTGGGATGTTTGGCAAAGGAAACTACAGCAGTTGCCAACGGCGTTTGGGTGTGGTTGCATTATATTTAGATTCACGATACCAAAGAATTCTCTTCAAATTCAAAAGTTTACTTACTGTATCATACCTTCTCTCGGTTTTCAGTGAACATGTTCCCTTCTATACATTACTAAATTCAGTACGGTTTCAAAGTCACGGTGACAACATCTACAATCTGAAGCTGCTCATGTGATCAAGCCAACGCAAACCAGCTCCGAAGTAGCACAATACCTACACTGTCTCATCATGAAAACGGTGCATTTGTGATAATTCAGATCTATAACGACTGTGTGTACTCATGAAACTACATCTGTCATCACTATGCCTTTGAACTCATGCCTTATCGTCACAGTAGAAGACGCACGACCCAAGCTCTCAGCCAGAGATCTTCTTACCAAATGAGCTCCGCGCCACCAAACTCCTGAACCTCTTGCCAAACACATACGCCGGAATGGTAAGCGCACAGATTCCCAGGTTGATGACCGTGATCCCGTCAAACACCGCGCGTGGTCCGATGTTGGCCATGATGCCGTTCGCGTACGTTGTTGCGATGAAGGTGAACACCGCCTTTGTGAAGTTGATGGTGACGAAAGCCTGGTTTGCATCTTTGGGGTGGCAGTCAATGACGTAGGTCAGACTGGCTGTTGACGCGAATGGCACAGAGAGCGAGTGGATAGACATGAACACCAAGGGCCAAACAATGGGGTAGCCAGCTGAAGTGCTCATACCAAAGCCGAGGAAACCGATCGTGGCGAAGATGACGGCAGGTATCATCAGAGTCAGGCGGAATTCAGGCTCGAAGACACCCTTGTTGCGGCGGGCCATGAACTTTGCGAGAGCATCGGCTGTCCAGCCAGAGAGGGGTGAGCCAATGAGTGCGACAACGAGGAGAGGCAGGTTGGTAAGACCGACTTGTGCCGGGTTCAGCGAATACGGTGGCGCAGAGAAGATGTTGACGGATAGGACCGAGATGGTGAGCAGCCAAGTCTGGGAGGGAAGATGAAAGTCAGCGCATGTCTTGCAGAAAGCTGATGGAATCTACTCACAAAGTAAGACCCGTACACGATAGTGCTAAAAAGTACTGCCGGGAACGCTATGAGCGGCACAGGCTTCCAAGCGTTCTTCCAGAACGACTCTTGTGACAAGCGGCCACGGAAGAGCGCTAGCTGGCTGCGGTATGGCTCTCTCTCCTCTTCGAGCTCGAAAACGGAGGAAACGGACTTGTGCTTCTCATTGACGGCAAGCTTGTCCGTAGTAGGACGGGCGCCATAGTAGGTGGTCTCGACAACGAAAAAGTACATGCCGAAGAGGATCGGGATGAAGATCAGTGCAGAGATGCCGAACGTTGCCTCGAAAGAAACGTTCTGAATAATAGCACCGGCGATTGTCTGACTAAGATTGGGTCAGTCCGCGGGTGCGTTAGAAGGGGTCGAGAGGAACTTACCCGAGAAGCACACCAGAGGCTAACATGCAACCCCAGACTGCGATTCTAGTACCTCTTTGGTGGACAAAGTACATGTCGGACACTGTGGAGGTGACGAGTGTCTCGAGAGGTGCTGATGCAATACCCTGCACGACTCGCATGACAGCGAGAGAGACGAAAGACTGCTTTATGTCAACGAAGAACCTGTTAGCTCATCTTTCGATACATACCCTGGTGAAGAATCCCCACACGTTCGTTGCAAGAAGGATGACGGTAGAAATGATGAAGAAGGGTCGCTTGCCCCAGATGTTCGCTCCGGCAGCTGTGAAGAACGTGGTGAAGCCGATCCAGAAGGCCAGAAACCCGATGATCAGACTGGACACCATGTCGATGCTGACGTTGTACTTCATTGCGATGAGTGGAAGTGCGGGTGTCACCATGGGCCCAAGACTGGCGGAGACTCAGCTTGTGGAAACAATGGAGTGTCTTCGATGCTTACGCTGTCGTTACACCAGAACTGAAAGCGAGCAGAATCATGATGCACTCCTTCCTTTTCGGTGACCTGTCGCGCGTGAGACAATGTATCGTGACAGAAGTTCCATAGTCTCTCACCAGTTGAGCGGATCGTTGGGACTGTCCGAAGGCTGTGGCTGTAGGATAACATCGCCATCGCGCTTGACGTCGCTGAAGTCAACCTTTGTGTCTACTGAACAGGGATTAGTGACACCGTGTTACTGTTCCGACGGATGTATCCTACGGGCAGGTTCAGAGTCATTGATGGTAGATGTTCCCGGAGGAGCTGCCATATGGCGGTCTTCTAGAATTCCGAAACCCATCTTGATGGTACCTAGGTCTGCGAACGTGAAAGAGAAAGAATGGTAACGAGAATAGAAGGAATGTAGTTGACTGCCGGCAGTCTTTTCGAACGCGCTGCGTTGAGGATGAGTAATTAAAATGTATAATGAATGAAGCAGCAGCAGTAGGACAGCGAGGCCAGCTCTGAACGATGAGTGCCTTGGGCCAACCTCTCTTATGACCGCATTGCGATAGGGCTCGAGGCATCAAGGGTAGCCTGATACTAACGAAACTACGCTGAAGCGTTTGAGACAAAGCGATATACCAACCATGCTCGTCGATCGACGCCTTGCATGGGCTTGACTGCCGAAGCCTGACCAGGGCTAGCCGAACGCGACGTCCAACGCGACGTGTTTCAGTATGTCGGAACTTCCCAGAGATATATAGCCCCAACCGCCAGTAAAATCCGCGGTCACAGAAAACCCAAGTGTCCGGATACACCTGGAAAATATGCCTGATTGGCAGCATATCTATCGATGCAATCGCTGGTAGTTGGTTGTGGACGCGTCTCAGGCAAATCCAGTTGCTTTGAAGACATTGACGTCTACCAAGACACCATCCCAAGCATGTCCACG